AGCAAACTGGGGGTCGTACCCATTTTACAGTTGAAGCAGCATAGGCTGTAAGAGGTGCCCTTTGGGCTCCAGGTCCCTGAGTTAAACATGGAGTTGCCCGACCTCTCTCTGGCACAGCGCTGACCCCGCCTGGGCCAGGGGAGAGGCCTGCTCCCGAGGCTCTTCCCTCATCTGCAGGAAGGGTTGGTCATATCTCCAGGGAAGGGAGACTTCACAACACACCTGTGAGTACTCAGACGGCAGTTACCTGCAATCCACCAGTCAAGCACACATCGTGCTGTGCAGCCATCAGGGGCTGGGTGGTTTCTGGAGCTGCAAGTACAAAGGTCCCTGTCCTTGTGAAGTCCGAGTTCCAGTGGGCGATGGCAGGTGTCCTGGGTCACTCGTGCTGATGTAACAGAAAGACCACGCTGGGTGGTTGTAGCTAACACATTTATACTCTGGCACCTTAGAAGGCTCTAGAAGTCCGAATTCCAAGCACTAAGGAAAAGCTCTCTGTATCTCTTGGCTCTGAGGGAAGGTCCTTGACCTTTATAGCATTTGTGGGCCCACAGCCCCTGGGAGATCTCCACGCATCTTGGCATCAACCTTCCCCTGGGTCTAGGAGGTTAACAGCACAGGGACCATGGGTCCAAAGGACACATTCCACTTCTGGCTGGATGGTACTTCTCTGCTTGCTTCTCTTGTAAGAACAAAGATGATGCAGGCCGTACCCCTTATATTGGGTCAGTGTGAGACCTGAATACGGGGGTTGCATCCAGCCCTAACCCCCTTACAACTGATTGGCTGTTCAATCCGATCACACCATGGAGGAAGATTCTATCATTGCATAACTTCCAAAGCACCAAGAATTATGGACCACCAAAGCTGACACTCATCTGGGGGAAACGCAATTCAATCCGTAACAGTAGGCAACAAGCAGTCAGTTTACTAAAGCAGTAAGTTAAAAGGTGATAAGGAGAACAGATGAGGGGTCAACCGCACAGTGAAGATGCCCAGGTTCTAATCCCCACGCATCAATGTGTTACCTCACGTGGCAAGCGGGGATTAAGGTGGCAGGTAAAACTAAGGTTGCTGATCCAATGACCTTGAGATCAGGGGGCTATTCTCGAGTATCAAGGTAGGTACAACAGAATCACAACCATCCTCAAACAGGGAAGAAGAAGGCAGCAGATTCAGCGTGAGAATGGTGCACTGTGGGAAAGACTGGAGCCACCGTTGTGACATTGAAGATGGGAGAGGCAGCCACGAGCCAAGGGCCGTGGGCACCTCTAGGAACCAGACAAGGAAAGGAAATAGAGTCTCCCCCTGGAGCCTCCACGTCTTCACTGTAGCCCATTGCCACACTTTGGGGGCTCCAGAACTGGAAGAGAATAAGCGTGTGGTGTTTTAAGTCAGAGCTTGTGGTATAATTAAAATTTTGCTGAAGATAATTTGAAAATGGTTGCAGGAGTACATCAACAAGGAGCTGCCATAAATTCAGATCAAATTCAGAAGGGGACATGGAACAAGGATTTCATTACTGGCCTCAGATGGTTTGGGGCTGAAAGTAAAGAATACCAAACAAATGTTTATTTTAGTTTTATTGACGATGCAAAGGCATTCGACTGTGTGGATCACAACAAACTTTGGATAACAAGGCTATGTATGAGTATCCCAGACCACTTCATTGTGCTCCCGTGTCACCTGTACATGGAACAGAACAAGGGGCTGTTGTGTGGTTTAAAATTAAGTGAGGTGTGTGTCAGGGTTGTAACCCTGCACCATATGTATCCACTCTGTATGCTGAGCAGATAATCTGAGAACCTGGGCTAAATGAAGAACACGGCATCAGGATTGGAGGAAGGCTCATTTACAACCTATGATGCACACGGCACAACCTTGCTTGCTGACAGCAGAGAGGTCTTGAAGCACTTGCTGATGAAGATCAAAGAATACAGCCTTCAGTATGGATTGCACCTCAATGTAAAGAAAACAAATATCCTCACAAGAGGACCAATAAATAACATCATGATAAATGGAGAAGAAATTGAAGTTGTCAAGGATTTCATTTTACTTTAATACACAATCAGTGCTCATGGAAGCAGCCGTGAAGAAATTAAATGTTGCATTGGACAAATCTGCTTCAAAAGACCTTTTTAAGGCAGGTTAATACGCTGGAATGCAAGATTGGCAGTTCAAACTCACCAGCAGGTCCTTGGAAACCGTATACAGGGTCGCTATGGGTCAGAACTGACTCGACGACACTTAACAATGACAAGAACAAAGAACTTTGAGGACTAAGGTGTGCCTGACTTAAGTCATGGCATTTTCAGTCTTCCACACTGAGACAACCTGGGGAGAAAGGACTGTGGCTAGCCTGTGGGTCACAGTGCTTCATTGTCTGATGGCAGTGCCGAGAGATGAGCCTTTTAGACTAAAAGGCGCTCAGAATTCACAGTGGACTTGAGCTTGTCCATGCTGGTGATGATGGTGTAGAACCAGACAACATCGGCCTGTTGTACATGGCCTCATCATGACAGGTAACAGCCACCGCTCCAGTTGCTGTGTGGAAGAGAGGCCGTGAGGTTGAGTGGACCGTGTAGTGAGGACGGGTCAGAGGATGCAGGCAGAGGAGGAACATCCAGGTTCCGGGGGTGATCAGGTGACAGATGATGGTGCCCTGGAGTGTGGGGCTGAATGGGAGCCTGCTGACAAGTGGCCTGAGCCCCGGACATCTGCATAGTGGAGCCACAGGACTTCCTGAGGGATTGCTTGATTGGAGTCGGAGGAAGAGAGTCAAGAGGGCCTTCCAAGGTTTGAACAATTGGAAGGAAGGAGTCATCAACTGAGACGGGTAAGTTTCAGGTGGTGCCAGATTGGGGAGGAAGCCTGCCATTCACTGGGTTCATTAGCGACCACAGGGCAAGGAGGAGCTTCCTTAACAGCACTGGAGTTCAGTAGAAAAGTCTGGGCAACATTAAACTCCCTGCTTTGTTTTTAAATGGAAAGTACTTGTACATTGAAACAAAGAGCAGACCCATACACGCTCCTCAGGATTTCAAAATATCAGACACTGTGAGTGATTGCAGTGTTGAATATCCCATGAAGGATAAGTCCTCCTTTCTCTGATGTAAATATCCAATTGTCTCTTCTCCCCCCCTGCCCCCCATCCCACACCAGCAGTGTATTTAAATGTCTCCTAGGATCTGAACTTCAGCTGTATATTTAATCCCAAAACTCATTTGATTGATGTGATTTGGCACCAACACACTCCATCTTTGGAAATAAAGATTAAACTAGAAACTTACCGTCTCTGTGTCTTCCTTGTTTTATTTCCATCATATTTTGGTTCTCGAAACCTGAGTCACCACAGTCATTCATTATGATTATTAGTATAACGTTCATTTTGATTAAAGCCCAGTTTCTTTCCTTTCTCGCTAGACCCCAGCCAGTCCGGCGAGTGAGCCCTATACCCCACCGCTCCAGAACTGTGAGCCCATTGAGAGCAAGCTCAGAAGGAGGATGCAGGGCTGTTGGCGGGAACTCCTGAAGGAATGCAAAGAGAAGGATGCGAACAGGCTAGGAGAGATCCGCACTGCCGAGTTCCTGGGTTTGTCTCAGTTACATATTCAGTCCACAATCCAGTGTCACCTCCAGGTGGTGGGAGCCCTTCTCAGTGGGCACAAATCTCCACCCCACGGCAAGGGCGAGGGAGGGACAGACCAGGGAGCTGGTAGGGACCCTCCAGGCCCAAACAGCAGCCTAGGCACCTCCTTCAACCAAAGTCTCCAGGGGCAAGACTTGGCAGCATGCCCCCTGCCACAGGTTCACAGGGTCACATCGTTGATGTTCAGTATGAGAATCAGACCTGGAGAACTCACAGACAGAACAACACGAAAGTGACTGTATGTGGCCAGCTGATGGCAGTGGGGGTGTGGGTGGTAGGGAATGGTGGAGGAAGGGGGTACAGATGGAGACTCCACTCACATCCACGCTCCTCTTCCCTCTCCTCTCGGTTTTCATCAGTTGCTCTGCAGGAGAAAGATGAGGCTGTCTGCTTCCGTAAAGATCTGCAGTTGCGGGAAGCCTGTGGAACAATTCTCCTCTGCTCTACAGGTCACCAAGAGCCAAAGTTGGCTCAGTGGCCATAGATTGTTGTTGTTGTTAGGTGCCATCGAATCGGTACCGACTCATAGCGACCTTATGCACAGCAGAATGAAACACTGCCCGATCCTGGCCAACCTCACTACT